TAGCACGTGGATCAGGAAGTGTCCCTTCTTTCCAGCCTCCAGAAGGATCCTGTGTGGATGTCACACGTTCTCACCCATCCAGGCAGCAAGCTTGTCAAGCTTAATAACCACCACTTGTTTAACAGTCCAGAGTCCAGTGATACGCTGTAAACTACATGAGGTCGGAAGCCTTTCCTTGCTCATCATTATGTCCCGTGGTAACAAAGTGGACCCCTGCTCAGTTAAAAATGTTTTACAGAATGGATGGAAGAAAGACGAATGAACAGACAGACAGGTGCTTTCTCTGTAATGCCTCCCTGGAGCCCTGTGGGCTCACCAGTCTTCATCCATGCATCATTTATGCTTCATAATACCTAGCACAAACCCCTACCGGAATCTGGACTCCTCAGCCATAAAATGGGCCAAATAACAGTATCTTCCCTGAGGTTTGTAATACGGAGACACAGTGCTGGGCATGGTGGTACCCGTCCTTAATCCCAGCACTTAGGAGACAGAGGCTGGTGGATCGCTATGAGTTCAAGGCCAGCCTGGAGCTGGGCGGTGGTGGCTCACGCCTTTAACCTCAGCACTCAGTAGGCAAGCCAGGCAGATCTCTGTGAGTTCGAGGCCAGCCTGATCTACAGAGTGAGTTCCAGAACAGGTTCCAATGTTACAGAGAAACCCTGTCATGAACCCCTGCCCCCCCCCCAAAAAAAAGTGGCGAGGCCAGCCTGGTCTACATATCAAATTCTAGCACAGGCATTGCCACATAGAAAGAACTTATCTAAGAATAATAAATATATAGAGACATATAATAACTTTAGGGCCTAGAGAGATGGTTCGGCCTTTAAGAGCACTGGCTGCTCTTCCAGAGGACCTGGGTTCAATTCCCAGCACCTATATGGGGCCTGCTCACAACCATCTATAATTCCAAGGACTCTGATGCCCTCTTCTGGACTCCACAGGCACCAGGTATGTAAGTGGTGCACAGATATACATGTGGGCAAAATACTCAAACACACAACATAATCATTTTTAAAAGACACATAATAACTTTAAGTCCATGATAATCAACTGTTAATTTTAAAGAAGGGAATATACATAAAGTGCTTGAAATGGATTCTGGCATTTAGTAAGTGGATTGAAAACCCACGTTGGCTGCATTAATATTACCTTAGCGTTTATAATTTCTTTCTGGCGGTGTCGCCTGCCAAACAGTGCTTCCACTAAGCTCTTTTCGTGGGGCAGATCGCCACTACCGTCCTGCAGTGCCCAGATCGCCACTACTGTCCTGCAGTGCCCAGGTGTCTGCAGTCCAGGCGAAAACAGCTGAATGCAGAGCTCCCCGCTGCTGAGTCAAAGCCAGCTCCCCCTTCATCACTCCCATCAGACACGCTAACAGTCTCTCACACGTTCACACCCACTCACATTCATTCAGAGCACCTCCCCACACCAGGGAACAGCTACTCACTCCTAACTGCAGCCACACACAAGTTAGAAACCTTTTACTCCTTTTCCTGTGCCCCCCCCCAGGCAATTCACTCCAGCACTGAGGACCTACCCCCCCCAAGAAAATGGAGGGGCCTACATGGATGAAGCCTCACTCAAAAGAGGGAAATTGAAGCCAGAAGTTTTGTCCTCAACAACTACAGAATTCCAGCTGCAGCAGGGTGCTACCTGCCCTCACTTGTGGGGCGGGGAGGGAGGGCCCTAGTATTGGCCCATAGTCTAGAAAAGGTGGTGGTGCACTCATTTAATCCCAGCACCTGGGAGGCAGAGGCAGGCGAATCTCTGAGTTCAAGGCCAGCCTGGTCTTCGGAGTGAGTTCCAGGATGGGCCAGGGCTGCACAGAGAAACCCTGTCTTAAATATATATATATATATATATATATATATATATATATATATATATATATCTGTGTGCCCCCTCTAAACCTAGAAATACACACACACACACACACACACACACACCCTTTGTCCTCTCCTAGCCCAAATACTACAATCTTCAGGAAAGACAGCGTAACACACAACCAACTTATGCCAAGAGTGGGTGGTAAGAGGACTTTCTTAGGCTTGAGGTGACACAATTATATTACATTCTACATACATTATATCTCATTTAATCCCCCACAACCACTCTTTTGCCAGAGGAGGACACGGGAAGTATGGAGGCAAGTCCATTGATCTAAAATCACCAGGTGGAATTGGTACCTAGTTCTTTAATTCCAGAATCTGGGATCCGGCTTTTGAGAATGAAGAAAGCTTGGAGGAGTTTTTTTTTTTTTTTTTTTTTCGAATTAAAATGGGCAGACGCCGTTAATGCAGCATCCTCTCAGTCCGTCCAGTCTTGATCTCTCTGATAAAAGGAGCGCTGAGCTCCGGGAGGTAAGGATGGTCTCCTGTGGGACCTGGGCCTGGCCGGGAGAGCCCAGGGGAGGAGCCCAGGGGAGGAGGCGGTGGCTCAGGCTCACAGGCCAAGATGGCTGTTAATTAAAGTGCTGGCACCAGCTCCTTTCTGCAAAGTTTGAAGCCGTTATTTTCCACTCCAGCGAAGCGGGGAGAATCCGGCTGGGCTGACAGAGACGCCACACCGCGCCAGGGGAGCGGGCGCGCTTTCGGGGCGGTGGGCGGAGCACGGTTCGCCGGCGAGCGCGGCTCTCGGACGCCCGGGCGAGCGCGGGGGTGGCCGCCTTCGCCCCCTCCTTAGCGGCCACAGGCTGTTGGGTTGGCTCCCCCGCCTGCCAAGCTACTAATGAACGCCGGTAGCCTAAGGGACGAGGGGCTCGGGCGTGTGTCTTGAAAGCTGGGAGTCTGGACAAATCATACTCCCATGGCCACGCACGTGCCACTCAGGTCACCAGACAGGTCGCTCTAAAGGGAATTGCACTTAAGAAACTGCCCCGAGGGACCAGGAGGCCACCTACAGCTGAGAGCTGAGGGCCTGGGGAAGCGTAGGGACACCAAGGCATGCTCGCATCACCTTGCACTTTGGACAATAGCCAGTCCCTAGAGACCCCTGTCGCGTTGAGGTTGGAACAGCTGGGAGCGAGGCTTACAGGCTAGAATTCTACCTCTGCCATATCTTTCTCTGGTGACTTGGGGGCACATCTCTTAACTTCGCAGAGCCTCTGTTCTCCAACTGTAAAATGAGAATAATGGTGGGCTTTATATCTAGGCTGGTGTGAAGATCAAATGTGTTCATACACACAAAGCATCCAACAGTGTGTGTGTGTTTCAGCTCCCTCCGCCTTGGTGATGCATGTCATTCTGACCTGGGTTCCCACTCGGAAGGTCCTCTCCGGCAGCGTCCCGCCCACCCCTACTCCTTCCATTGGTTATTCCTGTGTTCCTTAGTCTCAATCTTAGGGAGGAATAGTCACAGAATCAAGTGGACGGTGGGAGGCCGGCGGTGGGAGTGTGAGCTGGGAGAAGTCTTGCAGCCAAAGAGAATGAGCTGGAGTGTCATTGTTTATCGTGGCCAGAGGCCTCGGAAAGACACAGTCCTCCTCGGGAAAAGGGGGGGTGAAGGAGGAACACTCAGTGAGGCAGCTTGAGCTGGGTTTCAAATAATATGACAAATATTTTGATGGAAGCAGACACATTTCAGTTTATGCAACCCAAACTCTTTACTGCACTCAGGAAGAGGAGAGCCTCATACAATCTGATGGGGGCAGGAGGTAGGGAGTCCCCTAAGGGGCTAGGGGAGATCAACCCTTCCTCTTTTGGCAGCTGGAGAATAGCACTACCCAGGACCGGTTAGCATTAAGAGATAACATGGGGGTCCCGCACCTTCTCAGGGTCCTTGTTTCTCCCTTGTCTAGCTAGTAGCTGGGATCAGAGGAAGTCCCGAGGAAGAGGCTGCAGGCAGGGGCAGCCTAGCAGATGGCCCCGGGGCAGTAGAAAAGGAGGCTTCTGCTGCCACCCTGGGAGAAGGTGTCCCCCAAACAGTTAGAATTTTAAAAAAAAGGAAAAAGGAAAGGAAAGACGAGGTGGCTGCTATTAGAATTCAGAGGTCCCTCTGGGCACCCTAAAAAAGCAAAGGATCCAGATGGGTTATCTGGATGCGAGGCCTGGGTGCCCACAGAATGGCCCCTCCCTAGTCTTCCTTCCTGGCTTTGGCCTTCACTCTGTCCTTCTTTCTTGGTCTGTCCTCCTGCTCCTCACTTGGCACACACACCCCCTTCAACATCTCTCCTGCAGATAGGGGCCGTGCTCCATCCTTCAGCCTCCTGCAGGTGGTGGTCCTTTGCCCCTGTCGCGGTTTTCCTCGGGACGGACCCCTGGGACATCTATCTCAAGGCCACTCTTGGGCTCGCTGCCTCTCCCTTCCGTTGGCTCTTTGGTCTTACTCGCCCCTTCCCTCTGGGATCCTCATTGTTGACCTGACTCTAGCCCCCTTCCCATTTCCGAGCCTCAGTCTCCCGCTACCTCTGTGGCGCCCACCCTAAACCCCGCCCCCCTCTGCCCCTCCCGCCTCACGGCTGCCGCGGCCCAATTAGGCGCCTGTCCCGCCCGCAGACCCACCCCTCGCCCTCTCCGAGACCGGCGGAGCGGGTGGGCGGGGCCCAACGGAGGGGGCGGTGGCCCCAGCCGGAGAAGGCGGGAGGAGCTAGGCGCAAGGCGGGAGGCGGCGGCCGCGGCGTTCAGTTGGGCAGCGCAGCGGGAGGGAAGCACGAGGCCGAAGCCGGTTGCTGGGCTCCGCA